ATTTTCGCTTGGACCACGTGACCCGAAAAGCTTTGGCCGCTCGGAATAATGAGGCCTAAGGACTAGGCAACGCAAGATCGGGGTCACGTGACATTGTCAGATTAGCGGTTGACAGTTTTCAATGAAAAACCTAATACTAAAGGTCTCTAATATCTTTGAGGTCACGTGTCCCGAAACGGATAAATGTAAGCAAGTATCTGTTCAAACGCGCTTGTGACCACCGTATACTACTATTTCAAAAAACGTTGTCGGAAAAAAAGCAAAAAGCCTTCATGCCAAGACCGAAAGGTAATATGGGAGTTTTATAATGACTTGCTATTGGACCTTGTAAGGGTTTAGCGGCCACTCACGTATGTCCCTGAGACGAGTTTGGAACGACTTTCTGTAAGTGAGACTATTTCTAAACGTTGGACAACTCTTAAAACAGAGGTGGTTGGAGCCGGGCCTTCAAACAGTAGGGAGCTTAAGCAAATACGATGGCGACAAAAGAGACCCGAAAAACAATAGGTTTAAATTAGCAAAACAACAACTTAATTTGCACATGCATCACATTTTTTTGTCCCTGGCCGTTGTTGAACGACTGCGGCTTCAAATGTCCACGTCTTATGCGGGAAGTAAACAGCAGACCACAATTTTCTTTTCTTTTTTTTAACTTAAAACTAGTCTTTTAGAATTCATTTCCAGAAAAATCGCCATTATTTCAAAACTTGAACGAGGTGGAATTAAGGCGATGTGCGGTTGTCCATACATTCTCACATGCTGGTGTTGTGCAAAATATTACCTGCATTAAACTTTGGCGAGCTTTGATTATACTTCTTGAGTGGGAACCATTGGGAAAAGGTTTTTTTAATTTTTTTTTTCGCCCAATTCGTTACCACGTTATGCAAATTAATAAAATGTAAAATTCGGTTTCTTTTTTCCTTGCTAAGGTGGACAACTTTACTGCTTTAAAAAATAGGAATAAGCAAGGGTGCTGACTTCTTCTGAAACGCTCTGTTACCTTGTGCGTTTGTTAAAACTAAAATCATGATGAGTATGGTTTAGTATGAATGACGAATAAAAATCATCGACCAGTTTAGTTGAGTGATTGTTTGCCAGCAAAAGACGGATTTGAAACAATCCACATTACCTTGCAGTCTTGGCTTGAAGACGTTTTGCTTTTCTTCCGACAACGTTGTTTTTTGAAATAGCTGTATACCTCAAGGATTTATTCAAAAAAGAGTTGCATTTCTTATTGATATTTCTGACTTGCTGTTGAGGCGCCTGGGACGTCATCTAGCTGCAGATTATACAATAATCATGTCAAGGACACTCAAGGTCACGGGTAATCATGCCATGTATGACCGCGGTGCATGATTTTTAAGGGTAATCGTGTCAAGTTCGCGCGCTTTGTGTTGCTTGCCGTCAGTAAAGAAGCAAAAACATGACTTCCAGGTTTGCTTCATTGACGAGCAAGACAATGAAAAAATAGTTGAAGACAAGGTCTCACAAACTGCACTAAAAGGTCGACGAAGGTGGTAAAGGAGCTGCTTGCTGATTACATGAAAGAGAAAAAACTGAGGGAACCTAAAGAGTTGGCGCAAAGATGGAAAACATTTTATGTCGAAGCGAGAAAGAAAGAATTCGTTCAATGCATAATAAAACAATTATTAGATTCGGTTTTTGTGATATCCAGAATAATCAAGATCTCGGTAAGAGTCATCAGCCTCAGCCTTCCGCTTCGGCTGATAACCCCTACCTCGACCTTGATTATTCTATATATCACAAAAACCTCGTCCAATAATTGTTTAATAACTTTTGACAAAGGATGTTGACTAGCTTACGAAACGTCAAGTTTATAAACAAATGTGAAAGTTCACAATGTTTATCACCGCTGATTATGTCTCATCTGTGATCAAGTTAGGATGGCCCAAGAACTAAAGGACGTCTTGATTAAGTAAACAGTTTTTCGGAGACCATACCGTTGTTTTTCATTCGTCTTAAAAGTGAATTTGTCCTCGTCCGATGGCTACAAACTTTTCATCAGTGATTGACTATGAATTGAAGTTTGTCAAAATGCAGGTTTTAGTAAAATCGATATCACTATGACAACAATAAACAAAAAATTTTGAAATCGATAAAAACCGAATTTAGCGCGATCTAGACCTGCTACTGAAAATCCGGCACCAGGAACTTATAGTGTGGTGTTTAGCAAATAACCTCCGTGAGAGGTAAAAAATTCTTTATGTTCAAATAAAACGCAAATGTAATTCAAACCTTACATTTCCAATAGCCGTGATAAATTGTTTAATAAAAAAGTTCTAAATAACTCAAATTAATCACTTAAGTAGCGTCAGAAGGCTGCTGAACTTCATTTTTCGATGCTAGGAAATTTTGGTGTATTCTCTTTATTTGCGATTCTGAAAACTAACCTGTTTTCTAACCACCTAAGTGCAACTTTACTCTAAATTTTGACTTAAAACGGCTCGAGAGAATGTTTTTTAAACATCATCACATAATCTTCATGATGTATATAATAATGTCTGACACTTTTATTAAGATTGATTTACCGTAACACCTTGAAATTTCAAGACAAACCTAGCCCACGAACCGGCCAAACATCCGCGTTACAACATTCACTGTTAAGTGTTATGGCGTTATGTTAATTCTTCCAAATTAATGACCACCATACATACCTTCATGGCTAGTACATTTTAAGGTGAATATTGTCATTGTTTTTACATTCAAAATATGCAATGAAATTCACACTAAAATGTTCTAGCCATGCTAGCCATCACTAGTTTTTGTAGTGATCGAACAAGGATAAAATCACTTTTAAGGTGATTGAAAAACACCGGTATGGTCTCCCAAATACTGTATCGAAACACCTAAACAAAGAACAGGGTCTGGAAGGGTATTTTCGGGATTCGGGATTTGACCAAAATACGGTGCGGGAATCGGGAAAACGATAAATATATTGACGGGATCCGGGATTTGACTGTTCCCCGGGAAGCGGGACTCGCCAAAAATTGGGCACGGGATGCGGAATATATGTTTGCGTGTCTATTCCCAGTGCTCGCTCGTGCAACACGGGCCTTATTTTCTGTCCAGTTACTCGCTAGAGTTGTATTTTCAGGCGTGTGTTTAGTAATCTCCCTCGGGAGTGAATTTCGGTATTTAATAAACTCGTGTGTAAGGGATTTTGTCCAGTTTAGATGCAAGCGCCAGTTGAGAGGATTTTTCCTGCGTCACGTCTTAATGGCCGAAGAACAACTTCCACATCCCGTTGTGGTTTTACCTCCTGATGTTCCGTTACTCCAAGAACTGCCCGTAAGTCCTCCAGCTGCCGCCCCTGTTGTTGTTCCTGCCGCGGCTCCAGTGGTCGAGAATCCTGCGAATGTAGTTGACGCTGCTCCGCAAGAGGTAATTGTTCGTCAGTTTAATTCTTCGTTTACCTCTAAAATTAGCTTAAATCAGGTTTCTCGCGTCTCTGGTTTTACCTAGTTGGCTTTTTCTTGTCGGTTTTCTCGTCGGTCGTGGCCGGCGTCAAAGCATGCTCTCTCCACGTGTTTATTGACGGTTGGGGCCGTTAGATTTTTGTTTCCTTTACTAAACTCGTTTCTTTGGCAAGTCGGTTCTCATTAGCCCACATCCTTTTTCCCTTTTGCTCGGTAGTGGCCGGGAATGAGTTTTTAACGCTCAATGTTCTCTCTCGCTTTAATTTTTATTACTTTTTTTTGCGCTATATCTTTGCCTGTTTTGATTGTTTCGGTTGTACCCAAAGTAAGTTGTGTAAATTTCTTTGCGCTCGTTTTCTACTTTTCGCGTTCCATTCTCGGTCGTGGCCGAGTTTATCTCGTGTTCAGATTCTACTCTAGTCGGTTTATTTTTCTTCGGCATTCCCTTCCTTTTTATTTATTTTATTTTTTGTCGTTTTTGCTTTCTTGCCGTGTTTATTTAGGTTGTGGCCTAAAGCGCAGTCCGGTTGTCTCGGGGGACTTAGTTTTCCACTGTTTGTGCTTTTTTCTCGGTGGAGGCTGAGAAAATTCCGTGCCTTTCTCTCGGTGGAGGCTGAGAAAATTCCGTGCTTTTTTCTCGGTGGAGGCTGAGAAAATTATGTGCTTTTTTTCTCAGTGGGGGCTGAGAAAATTCCGTGATTTTTTTCTCGGTGGGGGCTGAGAAAATTATGTGCCTTTTCTCGGTGGGGAATGAGAACATTTTGTTTTGTCTTTTTGTTTTTGTTTTTGTTTTTGTTTTTTTTTCGACCTGGAATTCAAGGACTTGTGGTTTTGCGTATTTATTTTTGAAGTCCTTTACGTTCGCTTGTGGTTGGGAGGAGTTATCTGTTATCGTTCGGGTGCCGTTTTCATATGTTTTGTTTTTGTTGTTGTTGTTTTTGTTGTTGTTTTGTTTTTGTTTTTTTCTCTTCGATTATTTTATATTATTGAGTGGACGTGTAGTCCTTTCAGCTTTAGGAAGGCCGATGTGTCTGGTCGGAAAGTAGGTGGGAAAAAGTTGTAATTCCCACTCGTCATTTGTGTTGAATTGATGCCTAACTAGGAAGAAATCTATTTGTTTATGCCTGTCTTCGGTTATGTATGTACATATATATGCATAACTGCAGACAGTACTTTTTCGCTTTTCTTTGTGTCTTTTGTTGCCATGGTCGCGGGTCGCCGCTATTAACTATTTTTATTTTTATTTCTTGTTTCATCCTCTAAGAACCGCGATCGGGATAATATTATGTTCCGCCGTTCCTCCTGAGTGTTATTGTTTTCGCTGTCGGCAGCCAGTGGGACTTGTTTAATTTCCCTCTTCTCATGGGTTATTTTCGTTGCCACCTGTTAATTAGACCTTTCCTTTTTTTTTCTGTTTGCTATTTTAAGTTGGCCCAGCAAGTGCGAGAACTGAGAGAACAGTTGAACACCCTTAAGGAAGGCTCAGGCAAGGGTGCAGATGTAACGATTACCCTCCACTGGTTCGGCAACTTGCGTCTGCTCCTCGTCACTTAAGAGATCCTTATGCCATTCTGGCAGCCCTTCAGAAGCTTGCTGATGAGGCGCGGGTTTCTGGTGATCCGTCGGCCCCGCGATATGAAGCAATTCTTCGCCAGACCAGACCCCTTTCCTCTTCCGTGGAGTTTGGTGATATCATTACTCGTCTCGTTGGCAGTAAAGAGGAGAGCGAGGTTGCCAATTCTATCCCCAAGATGTCCAGACAACGGGGTTCCAGTGGTTTCCATCCCTACGCAAGATGGAATACGCCGCAACGCTCGTCCCCTTATGTTCGAGATGTTCCGCCTCGCGGCTCACGTAGGGGGCGTGGAGTCTGTTTTAACTGTGGTCAGCGCGGACATTTCCAAAGACAGTGTACTTCTTTTTTATCTTAAGAAGTTGTCATTAAAGTTGTGTGGGAATTACCTTTGCTTTCATTTATTTTCTCTTAGTTGTTACTCTTCCCTTGCGTACCAGTATTGTCGTGCCTTGGGTGCGGGTGTCTAATGCCTTTTATGCCTCTTTGAGGTTGCTTAAGGCCGGCAATTCTGGTGGGCTTCCCTCGCTCTCCCTCTTAGGTTTCCGTTGTTTTGTTTCAGGAATCGCTTCCTTGTGTCTCGTTCGATCCTGAGTTCTTTGCGTCTATTTCTTGTGAATCACCGCCTAGTGTCACGCAGAAGTGGTGTAACTGGGAGGGCGAGCCCACCAGTTTTGTCGGCCCAGTCCCCTCGCCTCAACAGGTGGCTGCCTTACGCGTTCAAGCTAGTCCACGCATGCTCACTTTCAGAGACCCGTCTTTTTTTGTTCCTGGTCAGCTTCATAACAACTTAGCTCAATGGGAGTTCATTGCTGAACATTTTCCTCCTAAAAGGGAGCCAATGTGTTTTGTCCGAGATAAAGTGAATGTGGCGTCCTTCGTTGTTCCCTTTAAAGGCAAGTTCGCGGGAAAATTTTTCAATTCACCATTTCCCCCTAAGATGGAATTTCCTAACAGCCCTATTTGTGCTCAGTTTGAGGAATTTATTTCCTCTACTATAACAGATCGCGTTAAAAACGGCTCTCTTGTATTTTGGGGCAGGGTAGGTCAAGTTGAAGCTCCTCATCTTGTTATGCCTATAACTGTTGAGCCTTCGAAGCCAAGAATGTGTCACGATGAACGGTTCCTAAATTTGTGGATCAAAGATTGCCCCTTTTCCCTAGATTACCTTTCTGATCTTCCAAGATACATTGGTTCTGGTCATTATCAGATCGTGTGTGATGACAAAAGTGGCTATGACCATATTTGTCTTTCCCCCTCCAGCAGACGCTATTTGGACTTAAGTGGAAGGCCTGTTATTTCGTGTACAATACCCTCCCCTTCGGGTGGAAGGCGAGTGCGTATGTGTATTACACAACTGGTTTATTGGCAACAAGTTATATAAGAACTTTGGGCGTTCCCTGTTCCCAGTACATCGATGATCGCCATGCAGGACAGCTTATGGTTCGCAGGGACCCCAATCTACCAGTTTGGTCCGACTTTGAATTAGCTGAGGCGGCGGCTTATATTGTCGTTTCAGTTCTTACTTCACTGGGGTATACCCTTGCTCTATCGAAGTCGTCTCTCGTCCCTTCCCAGCGCGTGCGTTTTTTGGGTTACCTTTGTGACTCTCTTTTGTTAGCGTTCGTCCTTACAGAAGACAAAAAGCTCAAGTTTAAGACCTTAAGAGAATCTATTCTGTCTCAAGATACTGTGAATCTTAAGACTCTGCAACGCTTTGCAGGCAAAACCACTTCGTTTTCTATCGCGGTACCCGCGGCTCGACTTTATACTCGCGCCTCGTTCCGTGCTATCTCATCCTGCATCAAGTCCCCTCATAAGTCCATTAAAGTCTCGGGCGATTTGCGAAGGGAAATCCTTTACTGGAGATTTCTGGACAACTGGCAAGGTTGTCTCCCCTGGTTCGAAGAGAGGCATGTTGTCATGACTACGTATTCTGATGCATCCAACTCTGGCTGGGGTGGTGTCTTTCCCGATGAATCTGGAAATTCCTTTGAAGTACGCGACTACTGGACACCCTCCGATCGCTCGCAGCCGATTGTCATTAGGGAGGCCCTGGCCCTCAAGAATACCATTCTGGCCGGTGCGGGATCTCTTGCGGCCTCCCGAATTGACGCTCACGTGGACAGTCTTCCCTTAGTTCGTGCATGGTCCAATCAGGGTGGTAAGAGCAAAGCTCTTTCCGACGTCATCCAAGCCATCTATGAAACCACTTTGAGGTTTAATATCGCCCTGTCCTTAGTGTATGTCCCCTCGGGGGATAATCCAGCAGACACCCCCTCCAGGGCCCTCTCGGACAGTGATTGCATGCTGTCTCCTCGTTTTTGGAGAGAAGTCGAGCGGTGTTGGGGCCCTCATTCCATCGATCTAATGGCTTTAGATTCTAATGCTCCCCGTGACTCTCATGGCGTGCGTTTGAGGCATTTCACCCCCTGGCCTAGTGTGGAGTCTGCGGGAGTCAATATTTTCACTCAAACCCTCCAGCCCTCG